GGGGGCGCCTTGGCCTTGTCGCCGCGGCGGCGCGACGCGCCCTCCTGCTTCATGGCCGGGCCGCCCGTGACACTGCAGCAAGCGCGCGGCACGCCGGGAGCCGCCAGGCACGGCCAGCCGCGCCGCCGCCAGGCCCGCGCGGCAGAGCGACGAGCAACCGAGCGGCCCCCTCGCTCGGGCCTTTCCGCCAGCCGCTCGGCTCCTCTCGCCACCCGCTCGGATGTTTCTGCTAGACGCTCGGCTCCTCCTGCTTCCCGCTCGGCTGTTTCCGCCAGTCTCTCGGCTCCTCCCACCCTCCCGCTCGGCTGTTTCCGCCAGTCTCTCGGCTCCTCCCACCCTCCCGCTCGGCTGTTTCCGCCAGTCTCTCGGCTCCTCCCGCCCTCTCTCTCGGTTGTTTCCGCCAGTCGCTCGGCTGTTTCCGCCAGCCTCTCGGCTCCTCCCTCTCTCTCGCTCGGCTATTTCCGCCAGTCTCTCGGCTCCGCTCACCGACCCGCTCGGCTGTTTCCGTCAAATACTCGGCTATTTCCGCGATCTGCTTGGCGCATGCGCGAGCTTTTCCCGCCTGCTGCTATGAGGCGAGGCGTGAGGACCGTTAGCTGCGGGTGTCGAGACCGGTGCTCACAGGGGTCCTGCCCAGCGGGCTCGTGGCTCAAAGTTCAGGTTTTGCTGCCGCAGCCCTGGCTCCCATTCAGTGTGTGGCCTGGTTCCCTACAGCCACCCAGGTAAGAGCTTAAGCACGAAAGAGTTTCAGTTACATTGAGCTTGTTTTGTGTGAGAATAATAGTAATAATTACCAAAGCCTTTAGGAACATCCAAATTCTAAATAAGAAACTATTCTCTTTATTTTTGTAGCAGTAACCAGAGCATTTGTTATACTTGCACTAAAAGAATTAAAATGATCAATGGTTTCATATCTGTTAATTTTATATCAAGTTAGTGCAAGCCAGCTGTGCGGTCCACTTATAGCTATTGAGTTCTCTTAACTGTATAAGGATTTTCTATTTTTTTCTAACATACAAGTGCTGGCTTGTAGTGGAGGAGGTTAGAGGAGTGTTAAAGGAACCTCTTTTTCGCCTGCTGTTATGCATTCAATGGGAATTTAGTTCTGAGAGTTGTTTTCTGGCCTCCATAAGCAGACAGGTTGCTTTGGGACTCTGCTTTTCTCATCTGAAGCAGGACTGAGTGTGAATACAGAGTATATATTGCCTGGACAGGAGTGAAGCTTGGATAGAGAAGGCATCTTGCAGTAACATTCAAATATTATCTCCAAGCCCTTCCCTTTAAATTGTCCCTGTCAGGGAGCAAAGCGTAGTCTAGTCTGACCGACTCAGAAGATCCAGCGCGTAGAGCGATGCATACAGGGCCGCTAGGGATGTGAAGGCATCTTGCTTGCATTCAGCCCAGCCGTTCTTCTCAATCTTCACTCCGCTCATCTCTAACATGACAGTGGTTAATTCTCGTCCCTCCTCCCGGGAGAAGGAGAGCAGCCCGGCAGCCACACTGAAGCACCTCTCCGTGTTTTCTATGTCATGTTCCAAGATGCTCTTGACCTTTGCAATGACAAAAAGAGCAAAGTGGGTGTTTTAAACCCCTGGCAGTGCTGTAGTAACGTCACCTATCCCTGGAAGTCACCAAGTGACTGAATGGTGTCTTTGACTTGTGAAGCGCTTCAACATCGTGCAGGCTCACCGAAAAATACAGGGTTATAGGTAGCATTTCAGACGCAGCAAGGTCCCTGTACTCAGCTTCTCAGTTTTCAGTTTCTTGTGAATTGGTTATGTCTAAGAAATCAAAACGATGCTAGGCTTGTAAATCTGAAGCCCGCTAAGCTAATTGCTGGTCAGGTGGATGCTTGCAACTGTGGTAAACTCATGGCAAAGTACTTTTCTTTTCCAAAGAGAGAGGGGCTATATCAGAAAACGGTTCTCAGCTGCATCCAGTTTAGTATTTGCAAAAGAGATTCTTCCTTCCCTTCTTCCCCGTGTTACCTTAAGTTGTGAGCTACTGCTACTCGTACCATGCCCTTGGTTATTATGGTCTATGTGTATTACATGTTATACTTGTTATTTCAAGCAGTGCGTTTTGTTTATAAGAAACAAACAAAAACACAGCCCCCTTTGTTTTGGGACAAGTGCAAGTAGATGTGTGGTTTCTCACCAGCTTAAGCTGTTGGGACACAATCTTCTCTTCCAAAGACTCTAGCAATAGCAGCAGATGATCTTCTGTTAATTCTGGAGAATTAAAACAGATTTATAGCACAAAACAAACAAATTCCACAAAAAAATACCCCTTCCCCTTCAAATAACAACGAGGAAAAAACAAAAAAAAAACCCACTAATTTGTTTTAGGCTCAATTGGCAAGATAATGGCTATCAATTGTCAACATGGAACCCCAGTTTGATCAAAAATTTGGTATTTTATCCTAATTTAATTGTGCAGTCTTGATGTGAGCTGATTGACAGTGTTACTAAGCCTTACCCTCCAGAGCATAAAGAGTGTAGTTGATTCCTTCCGCGAGGCCTAGGAGGAGAGGACTCGGAGAACCCCGTAAACTGAGCAGCAGGTCTTTTAAACCCGGACTCTCTGTTTCCAGCTCACAGTTACCAGTTTCATAAAGAACAGCTTCCATCTGGGAGGGCAGAATCAGAGAAAGATTCAGAATTTCAGAGGAGGCTGCTGGTAGCACTTGCAGTGTAACTACAGAAATCATGTAGAAACAGTCCTGGAATAGGTGCTTCCCATCCACGAGCTATTTTTGAGGCTCTAGTTGAGGCTTTCCTGAAGTATGACTTTCATGCATTAAATTCTGCATATTCGGATATTTATTTGATTTCTTCAGATAAAGAATTCTGACTATTTAAAAAAAACCTGTAAAGGCTGAGAAGAGAGGGCTTATTTCCCCAGACCACTCTGTCCTGAGCACCTTCTGTCTCCCTTTGTGTAGTGACCACATGAATATGCTGAGGAGTAGTTTGAATTGCTAGTCAGGGCATAGGAGATGACTCCTGGGGCAGGACTAAGAGAGTGGAGGTGTTTGTAGCTCTGAATTGAGGCAGTGGGAACAACTCTGCTTACTTTCTGGCTTAGCTCTTGAAAGAGGTTTCTGTTTCTCATCACAGCTTTGAAGGAGTTTAAAAATATATTTTGCAGATGCACAGATAACTTGGTGAAAATTTGATATTTTGCATTAACTTCCTTTTCTAGTGCTCCTAATCTTCTGGATAAAAAACCTGGAAAACAGAAAAAAAAGTTTTAATATATCAGTTTTAAATTAGGGAGGACTATAGTAGATCCACTGGCATCCCTAAAGTTACATTTTGAAACATTTAGACTAATATTTTTCAAAGTAAGTAATAGGTAGCTTGAATATACTTCCTTAAGGACAGTGGTGGTGGCTTAGGCGATGGGCAGTAGCCCCAGTAACTGCATTGCTTTTCATGGTGTGGGTTTATTCTGAGAAACTTCCGCTTAGCTGAATGGGATAAAAGTAATACAAATAATACTATTAAGAGACATTGCTTGCCATCAGATACGAATGTTTGTTCATCATCTTCTGGGAAATGGTAAATATCTGCAAGAGAATAAGAAGGGAATTGTTAACTGGGAAAATAAAATTGGGTAAGGTTTTTTTTTCTTTTTTCTCCTTAAGTTAGGACCCCGTTAGGACCCCAGTTAAGAAGTTTCCTGTGCTCTCTGTAGGTCAGATGGGAATATTGTTTCCACTGTTCTCCAGTGCATCCGCTTTTTGTACTTCCTGTATAAGAAAAGGACCTTTGTCCTCTACACAGTCTTTCAACAGGAACTGCCTTTGGAATTTACAAAATTTAAAGTAGAGATTTCCTTTTAAGTTTGTTTCTTTAGAAAAAAGCACAGCTGCACCTCCTCCCTAAGTAGCTCTTTAGCTTACTTTTGATGTAGAAATGCTCATTTTCTTTCAAATGAGCTATGGCACAGAGGCATTAACCTGAATGATGTTTTAGGAAATGTTTTTGCTGCCTGCAGTGGAAGGTTGAAAGTTACTTACCCCATGATCCGTCTCCGATGAACAGCTGTGTCGTCCTGAACGCTATGGTGCAGCCTTTGGGTATAGTTATGCTTTGTCGGAAGCCTCTGATGCCCTGATCAATAACAACCGAAAAGCATTACTAGGCTTGAAAGGGCGCACCAATATTCTCAGAGGTCTGGCAGCTGAAGATAAAGACAAATCAAACCTCTGTGCTGAACTTGGCATAAAGCTGGGCCATGAAGTTCCCTTCCATCTTGCTGGTTTCCTCAAATTTGGTCTCCTCTAAGGCTTGTATTGATTCAGAAACCACAAACAAATCCTGATGCTTTTTCTTTAACTGTTGAATGAAGGAATGTTTCATATTGATTTTTCTAAAGGAGGAAAAAAAAATGCAGTATCTCTGCTAAGTGTCTGTTGCTTTTATCTGGAAGTTACACCAAAAATACCTGCAGCCTGTATAGACACAGAAGCCTTATGCTTGTGTCCTTTCTCCTGCTGTGTCAGTGTACATACATGTCATAATATGTAAGAGACTTTTCTTAGCGGGAGGGGAAAAAAGGTGAGCTGCAATTTCTGCTCTTCCCAGTGCACTTCCCTTCTGCATCTGCCAGGGACAGCAGGCAGGACTGCCAGAGGAGGCCGTGTTCTGGCAGGCCACATAGTGTGTCCCAATTTGTGTGTTCCTTTCTAGGTATAAAATACAAGAAGAAATGGCTTGACTGGCCTTGAGGTGTTTCTATTTTCTTAAGAACAAAGAAATCCTAATAGAAACGTGTGTAAGGAGCTTTTACCACCTCTTTCCAGTCCTTCCGAAGTATGCATAGCTAGAGGAAATGCAGGGTCTCTGGCTTTATTCTTTGATTTTGGCAACTGAAACAATTTGTGTGATTTGGCATAACGCAAGAGAGGGTGACCAAGTGTGTTCTCTGTTCATGCCTTCCTTACCTTTCTGCTTTTAGTGACTCAAGTTTTGCTACTGGTATGTGTTTCTTTTCGAGCTTGATGGACCTGTGCTTGGACCAACAGGTAGATCCATATACTTCTGTATTTGCAGAGTTAATGGGAATTTGAAGCTTGCCTTCAATTTTGCCGTCAACGTCGTGTGCGAGTGTAACTTGGCTTGAATCTTGAACGTCCTTAGCAGGGTTCGGGGGGTCTGAAATAATTTGATGTATTTGCTTAAACATAATTACATAGACTCGGAACTCATACACACAAGAAAGATGGGACGTGGCAGCCACTGAGTGAAAACAAAGTGATCTAAATGTTTGACTTATGGAAATGGTGAATTTAAGAATGATGAATCTGGATATTACCTGCACTTGTTTTGTCATCTTCAGGTAGCAGCAGATCATAGAGGTTATACTCTGTTCTTCTGTAGCCAGGATTTGGGTGAAATATGGTTTTTCCTTGTCTTCTAACTAGGCAGAATGGTCTGAAATGTTCTTCATCTAAGATACTAGAAACTGGGATCAGTTCTCCTTTTGGATCCATCTGCTTTGCTATGGATTTGGTAACTTTTTTGAACATACTGCTGAAGCTTGATTAAAAACTTTGAACTGGAAGGTAGTGTGCTCTTGCCTTGGGAAAGGTAAAGACAAATTAAGATTACATGAAATACAAGTAAGAGGTTGCAGAAGAAGCATCTGACACTTATAGTTATGAAGCAGATTTAAAAAAAAAAAAAAAAAAATTAGTCCACACGTGTACTAGGGCATATTAATGCAAGATTATTTACAGGAAAGTTCTTGGCAAACTAGGAATAGGAGTCATAGCTTAAGAATTAAGCTTCTTGAGGCTTATCACATTCTGCCTTTTAATTTCCAGTCTTGTAGCCTGGGAACTCGGTATGTGAGAGTACTGCTCTTTAGCACTGGAATCTACTACCGCAGTTTCAGTTGTGTTATTTCTTTCATATACTAGCGCACACTAGAATAACGTTAACTACTAGAACTAGACATGGCTACTTAGATTAGTAACCAGTTGCTGTTGTTCTGAATGTTTTAATCTCTAATAACTAATATGTTGACCCCATTTAACATTAAAAAAAGAAAAAAAAATTGTGCAATTTCCTGCCACACTGAACTAACAGTTGGAGAAAGATGATTGTTAGTTCCTCTGCAAGTATTACTTCTGCATTTTACCCCCTTACATCTTGAGGCCTGACAGATAAGAGTGATTTATTGGGAAATGACAGTGCTAAAGCATTAGAAAAATGATTTTTTTGAAATCTGACAGTGAGAAAGTCAAAGTGCTGAGAGGGGAGTAATGATTTCCAGGAAAAGGTAGGACAGCTTGCTCTATGGCAAAACGTTCCCCAGCATTTTGGGTACGTTTCATTTGTAGTTGCGAACTCCCCCTGTCCCCGAAAGTACGTGTTCCAGCATGGCTACTTGCTTGTGCTCTAGTTCTCTGCCTTTATCTCCCCTCGAGCAAGCTGGATGTTGGGCAGAAAGGCAGGCACTGTCAGACTCTGCCCGGGTTCAGCCTGTTGGTACTTTCAGTTTCATTTCTTAGCTATCTAGCAATATTTGTACGGCATGATGAAGAAAATCCTTGATTCATGAATTAAGGAGAAAAATGCGCAGGCTTTTTCCCCTCATTTGTGCTCTGTCAAATTTTGTTAGAGAAAGGAAGAGGAGCAGATCCCTGGTTCATGTTAGTGATTTCATCACAGCGAGCAGAATTGTCCCTCCCTTTTTCTTACTTAAGTGTTCCTCGGTGGTCTGAAGAAAAGTTTGATTCTTTCAAATTTGTGAAGACTGACACATCACAGAAGATGGAATTTTGTACGAGATGAGGGCAGGAGGGAAGGAATGGTCCTACTCTCTCCTGTTTAATGTGGCATCATTTTAGTAGTATGCAGAGACTCTTTCTCTTGGCAGACTTCAAAAAAGATAAAACTAAGAAACTACTTTTAAGTTTGCTCTACCCCTCTCCCATACGGAAAGCTCTTAAAAATCTACTTGCCTGTTTACGGTGTGAGGTGACTTCTTGCCTCTTCCTCAGCGCAGATGTTCATGTGATCTCATGTGCTGTGTACTTAGCGTTGCCTCTTTAAAGCGGAGGGGTGGGGAAATATGGGAAGTATTTCAGATGTCCGGAAGTACGTGCTATATTAGGGCAATTGGGCACTTGCATAATTCTTGCTCCCAAAAGTTGTGTCTTCAGTGTGCTTTTCTGTCGAACTGTTACAGTGGATGTGGATAATCTTAAACTGTGCTATGGATTCATTCCTCTTACATTTTAAGGTTAATATCATTTCTAGCCTATTTTTGAGTTGTATTGCACTCTTTATCTATGGAAATGAGGAATAATGTGTTCTGGTTTTGGAGCATTTCACCAAAGCTGTCAGAGAGAAACAGCTAGGTGTGTTGTAGACGAGAGCAATGATGTTATTTTACTGGGAGCACTTTCATGAACTAGCTGCCTTATGTTAATCGTTGCATTTACATCTCTGGACAGTGTATGTGTGTTACAGATATGAAAGCTGTCATAAACCACTTGGGATTTTCTGTAAGATTTTAGATAATTTCTACAGGTTTTTTTAATGTCAGGCATGCGAGGGGAAGAGCACTGAGGACAAAGCACTTGGCATGTCTCTTTTGTACTCGCTGTGTGTCCAGCTGAGCAGTGATGCACATTTGCACCCACCGTGCTCCACTCCAGGAGGCTGCAGCCTTTCTGCTGTACTGCACTCTTTAAGCTTGTTTAACAGCAAAACCTAGCCATACAAAATGCAGGGAAGCAAACACAAGTTTTTACATGAATACTTACTTTATTAGTTTCTCTTAGAATACTGTACAAAGGAGTAATAAAAATATTCACACTTTATTTTAGAAAGTTCTCTAGATGAGATTTTTTGTATACACAGCAAAAAGAAGGGCTACTGGAAAAAAACCCCTAAAACTATGTACAATGTGAGAATGTTCCATAAAAAACTAATTTAGCTTGTTTAAATTGACCCAAAGAAGATGCATATACACACCACTCGCATGCTTAAAGTGTATATTATTATGGGCAATGATAAAGCAATGTAGGTCACAACAGGAAGTATTAATGTGTTAACAATGGTAATCCAGCTGCTGTCCCTTTTTTAAGGGCCAGTACCATACTTTTTTTTTAAAAAAAAAAATTTATTTTTTTAAATAAAACTGTGGAACTAAGTAGCCCTGGATCTCAGGGTACTTCTTTTTTAAAGGCTTTCTCCTGCAAAGGATTGAGCTCTATGACATCCTGTTAGGTATATTAAATTAACTGTAAGACAAAATCTCTAATCTGGAAACATCAAGCTGGTAGTATTGATTGTTTTGTGGCTTTTCCTGGTACACTGATTTCCGTACTGTGCAAATACATCGTCTTGACAATGGCTTAGAGCAGTTTTTGCCCACAACAAGATCAGGCAAAGGAATGGCTTTTGCCAGCACCTGTGAACGCATCCAACGATGCTTCTCAAAACTTTTTCCTTTCTCCATCCACAGCAAATCAAAAATGCTGTGTCTTTTTTTTAGGTACATACTTGTCCATTCTTTGTTCTCGGTCCCTTAATGGAGTCTACCTTTAATTCTCCAGCCGCAGTTCATTCTGGTCACTATGCAGGCAGCTAGTACAAGGCTCAGAGGGAAGTATCCTGCATGTTGTCATGAAAATCCCATTTAAAATCAGTAACAATCATCTGTCTCCTTCATTGCAGGTACTTGGAGAAAAACTTGTTGTCTAAGAGAACTAATGGACAGTCTTTTTCAGGTAGGTTGTTTTCTATTTCTTATTAATTTTCATACCTACTCTGCAGATGACATCTTGATATCAAATCAATAATTGCTGAAGTAACTACAAATCTTATCTAGATGCTTAACATACTGTATAATTAACATGAATTTTTTTCTGTTTTTTTAATTTCATTTTCCCATATTTTTCCTATTTTCATTTATATTTCATTTGATAGGATTAAGTGCATGAGTCCAAGTTAACTTCAAGATATTCCCTGGCCAAAATGCTATGCCTATGTTGTGAAGAATCTAGCTTGCCACGTAACCCCAAATACATGTGTGTAATGGCTATTTAATTCATTTCAGTATGAACAAAGTAAATCAGAAAAGTTTGCTATTAAAATTAAGGCTTTGTCTAATGAGATTTTTAGACTTTAAAAATTGCTCTTTTGAGAAGCTTGCAATTCCATTCCATTCTATTCTATATTATTTAGCAATTAATCTTTAATTCAACAAGATGGAATCAAATTCTGTAGTGTCAGTTAATAATAAAATATGTTCAGATCCTCAGCTGCTTTAACACCAAGGTGTTCAATGAAGCCACAACGATGTATTTCATTGCAAACATCTGACCTTGAACTTCAGTTTGTATTTCTGTTAAAAATGTCAAAATAGCCCTGATTTTGTTATGTGCATAGACTTGCAGAAATAGTCAATACTTATATCCATTGGGATGATTTTTTAAAAGCAGAAGCATCGTTGGTAAATTAACTGTCTTTGCAGGTAAGTTGATGTTTTTTGCCCCTCGCGTTCTGCCTAAATAACTAAATTGTGCTCTTCCTCCCCAGAGGAGATTTGCCAATAGCGTGCACGTTCCACATGCTGTCAGACATTCGGATTTGCTGAGCACCATGTAGTCCACACCACAGATATTGGCTTATCCATCCTGTTAAGAACAGGCTTTACAAATGTGAAGGTAGCAGGCCTTCTATAGGCATTCAAGACATTAAAATGAATAAGAAATCAACAGTATCAAAGATACTCAGCTGACTGAAGAACTAGCTCTAATTTGAAAACAATATTTTATTTCAAAAGTCATTGTCTAGTAGCTTAAGAGTAAAGAGTATATTAGCTTTAGGGCATATAGTACCTTAACTAAAGCAGCAATCTCTATGTCATGGTGGTTAAAAGGTTTAAAACAAACAAACAAAAAACCAAATAAATTAGACATCTGTCAAACTCCCTCACTGGAGAATAGCACTTAAGCATCAAGCCAGACTCTCTTTTTTTGTCTGTCTTCTCAAGAGCTTTCTTTTGACTTAAGATTCAACATATTTCATTTCAAACATATTAGATAACGTGTCTCTGGGCATTACAACAGCCCTCTGAGAAATATTGAATGTTTTGTTTTTCCCTTTCTCTGCAGCAGTCTGATAGCAAATCTGAGACAGAGAAGTAGAGCAGCTTGCCCAAAATTAGGCATGGAGTATTATTAGACCTTATATGCAAACTTGAAGTTCTTCTATCTCTGTCTATATTGAGACCATGAAGAGAACTCATCAATATCCACTCTTGCCCACTGACCTCTGAGGCTATACTTGGCTAATGCAGGAACAAAATACCTTATTTAAAACATCTATATTGTTGTCAAAACTGAGATGTACAAGTACTAAGACAACAAAACTACTGGCTTTGCGGGGAAGCATGAGGAAAAACACATTTCAACCAGCACACAACCTAAAATAAAAACATACTGCTTTGGAAACAGTGGAAAGATCTCTCAACCAGGAGATCTAAACCTGCAAACCCATTTTATTTAGGTAGACAATTTGATGGGGGGTGGAAAAAGCTCAACACTCTTTCTATCCTAAATCATCAATTATCTTCAGTGACCCACTGCATCCTTCTGGGGCTCCATTCAGTAGCTGGCTGCTGCTGCTGCTTAGTGCAGCTGTCCTACAGCTCCTCACCCTTTTGGAGGCCACTCGAGGGCCAGGGGACACTGCTGCAGTATTTGGGCCAGATGTTGTGCCTTGAGGTAAGGGACAGGCTTCCAGGCGAGTCAGATATCAGACACTTCCTGGTGTGAAGTGAGACACTGAATTAAGTCCGCAGCTAACCAGAAAACGGGCTGTGTCGGTGACACGTACCCAGACCTGGGTGATCCGGTTGCTGCCTGGAGGAGAAAAATTCCACTCACAACGGTTAAGTGCCTGTATCCAGCAGCCGTCAGCCTCTCAGCTCAGTTCTCAATCTTCAGTTTGCTGCATCCTCATTTGATCTCCCTGTAACAAGTAGCTCGGTGACACTTCCCAGTCAATCATGAAAATAACCTGCTTCCTGCCCCTTAGTGCTCAAAGAGCCTTTGGATTACCTGAGTCCTCAGAGTATGCTTTAAAATGGGTTCTTTGGGGTGGGGAGCAAAGTTACTCAAATTATGCTGTGAGTTGAAAATAACTACCGTGATTTAGGAACAGACAGGGACTTTATCCCCGGAACCACATGAATGGTACCATAGAAAACTGAAAGCTTTGACAAACTGTAGGTCATTCTTTCCTGTATTCTTCTCAGTAAAATCCTTTCTCAGTGGGATAAAGGATTGAAAAATAAAAATCTGTCACATTCTTCTTCCTCGCTCCCTACCCCAATATGAAACCTATATCCTAAAACAATCAAGTTTTGGGAAAGTCTGGCTGTATCCCTTTGGATTTTCCCATGTATCATTTAAAGCACCTAGCTTTAGAAAGGGAAATATATTTTAAAGTGCATTTACCACAGCAATAGTACCAGCACTAGAAGCTTTTCCCTCATCCCTGCACTTTTCATTCTATGCCTGGGACAGATGAAAACCTCCCCAGAATTCGTCCTCTTTGTACCTTGAAGTCTCGGTGTATCTGCATCTACTTAATGACACTGGATTAAAGAAATCCAGCATCACGTATCCTGCTCTGCACTAAACTCTACTCTGGAGCTTGTTTAGATTTATTGGGCATGAGGATCCAGCATGCGGTATACGTCTATTGGATACTGCATTTAAACGGCCGCCGTGAAACTATATCCCAGTGTGCATGAGGGTGAGGAGAAAGACTAAGGAGACAGAATTTCCCTCCTCTCCCCTGCTCCTCTTCAATTCACTCCATCCAAGCAGTTCAGTACTTGTTGATCCCAAAGATCCGGACTCCGTGCAACTGAGGCAGTTTGGGGATCAGGACGCTCATAAGGGAGATGGTGTTGATTATGAAGTGTATCCGGTCGTACTTTGTGTAAAAGCTGGTTAGAAAATACCTGGAAAGGAGGAGACAAAAAGAGTAAGCTGAATTAAACACCCGTGGTTTCAGTCTTCCTCACTGCTCCCTGCTTGCTTAAGCCTGTATCTGGCCTCTTTTTGGACCAAGTATGTGGTTTTGTTCTGTTCCTGTTCTGTGGCTATTATTATGAGTTCCTAGTCCAGAGCAGGCTCTTAAATATTAACGTAGTCTACAAGAACAAGTTCCCTGCTAGCCCAGGAATGCCCAGGATGATGGCCCTTAGTCTATATGGGTCTGTCCAAAGTACTCGAGGAGCATTAACTCCGGTTGCAGGGGACTCCAAAGGAAGCTGGAGGCTGTTCTTTCAGCAGTTAACCTGAGAGTAGCCAAGGTGTAAGTAGCACTGGTGTAAGTGTGTTATTCTACAGCCTGCTGCTAAGTATGTCTGTAGATGTATTGCTGGGCAAGCAGAGCTGGAGAAGGGAGCACAAAAGCAGCGCCTTGGAGGATGGGGGAGTGTTTGGTTTCCCTGGGGCAGCGCTGGGTCGGGCGGCGTGTGCTACTCACAGTACGATGGGCATGATGGTGAGGAACTTGCGCGACGCCGTGAACTGCACCCCGTAGTCCATCTGCTCCCAGTGCGTGAGCAGCCGAGCCTTCCCCTGGTCGGGCGTCTCGAACGGCGTGCCCTTCACCGTGTGCAGGAAGATGTACATGCTCTGCAGCAAACGAGAGGGGCCTGGAGCGCGCGGTGCCAGCGAGGGGGCCGCGCTGCCAGAGGGACCTCGCAGCCCTTTGCTGCAAGGGGCGTTAGCGCCGCTGCAGCTAACGCAGCCGTAAGAGCTAACGAAGCAAGAGCAAAACTGCTGGCTGGGGCTACCTCGGACGTGGCAGCTCCTGGGCGTAAGCAAAGAAAGTGGTTGCAACATTGCAGCATGGGGATCTCTGGGATCAGGGTGTCGGCACAGACTTGCTCTGTGTGGCAGCAATACCAAATGCTTCCAAAGGTGCTGGTAAACCTGCGAGCAGCAAGGGCCCCTTTCTGCTCTCGTTACCAGGTAATTTCTTGAAGCGGAGCAGGAGTTAGAGACCAGCAGCAAGTGTCTGCTAAGTTGGGCATGTCTTTTTAAAGGGAGTTACTGGTGGTCTTTCAAACTCCTTCCTGGTCCCAGGACAGGGCGCAGAGAGCAGTGGAAGGGACAATCTTGATGAAAACCAGCCATCATTTGTGCTGAGCTCCCTGCCCCAGCAGCTCCAGTTACTTTCTTTTATTTTGCTAGAGCCACGGATACCATAAGCATGAGGGTGCCCATTAAGAGGGGGTATTTCTGACTCCTGAAGAGTCCCAGCCTGAGATGCAGCCAGAGGGATGGAGGTTGCGTAAGTCACCTCACGGCTCTGGAAATGCAGATACAGGAACTGTTTCAACAGGAATCGTACTAGAGCAGCTGGTGTTGAGAACCCCCGCTCTGCATGCCCCAGGAAATGCAGCTCTTACCATGTTGTGAATGATGTTAGTAAGAGTCCAGACCACAGGAACGCTGAAGAAGGGGATACTCAGGAGCACGACGTGCAGCAGGCCGATTCCAAGGACGTAGGACAACCAGATACCCCGGCTGTTCATGACACGGGTGTTGGGGTTCACCTCACTGTGTGCTGTTCCCACATTCATGTTGGCTTTTATGTTAATTGGGCACCCCTGAAACTAAATGAGAGCCAGGTTAGTACTTGGATTTTGATAATTCTCTATGTTACTCAGTTAAGGACAGCTTGGAGCTCCCTGTTGCTGTCAAGCAAACCTGAGTTCTGTTGCAGTTGCTATAAAAATCACAAGTCAGCTCACTTCTTGGCAACTCATTATTTCCATTTGTAGAGCTGACATTTCTGAGAGGAAGCTAAATCCAGAACAGCTGAAATTTGGCAATAATGTGTGGGAAGTTTGCCTGTGAGAGGAGCTCTGTGTGATGTGCTGAAATGTCATCTTGGAACCAAGGTGTCAAGGTTCAATCCCATGATTGTTGGACAAGGCTCAGACAAATACTTTCCAAGTCATGGTGACAGTGTTAATGACAGAAGCACTTACACGTGAAGCTTCTTTATGGTTTATGGTTGTTTATGGGCTCGGCATACCTCAAACTCGCCAGTCTTTGCAGAACAAAGGCACGACAGCTCTATAATGACAGATCTCTCAATTGCTTTCACTGATTTATAAGGGTTCTGCATAGCTCTAGGGCCTTGCTGCTCTCGCCATCCAGTTTACGTGTTCTGCCTTCCAATTTAGGACTTAACTGTAGCAAGAAGTTCTGCATGGGGAAGGAGGGAGGTTCTTCAGCAACAGAAAATAAGTTGGAGATAACAAGGAAGACTGTAGCAAGAGCTGCAAAGGAGCCCATTCCTGTCCTACCTGGGAGGAACAGAGGCTGCATAGAAGGGCACTGAGATGTTTTTCCAAACAATCCCAGGAAGAGGGAGCAGGTCAGTGTTGCCTTTTGGACAGCAGCAGCAGGGCCCTGGGACTGTGCACGCTGCAGACAGCACAGTGGGATTTTGTGCAGCTGCCTCAGTGACCAGCAGCAGGAATCGGTCACACCTCAGCATCTCTGGAAAGACAGGGTATGTCTGGCTTAGCTGTCCTCAGGGATTACAAGAAACAGCAGAATGGGGAAACAACTGCAAAGTGGAATACTTTGGCATGGGGGAAAGCCTTGCATAAACTCCCCTTTGTCCCTTTCCCAAGGAAGAGCAGCACTCATGGCTAATACACTTTTCTCCTTCTTGTACAGAGAAGCAGCAAGGCAAGGGCTCCCCTCTGATGTCCAGCCTTGCGCTTTGCGGTCTTGGTTCCCACAGCTGGAGGAGGGAGCTGCTGTTCTGCAGCTCTCCCAGTCCCTGGAGACGAGGCCCAGCCAGATCTAACATTATGCTCTGCGTGTCCCTGGCAGCTGCTCCCCGTTTCCTTATGGAGTGTTGGCTCTGGCTTGTTTCACAAGCTGCTGCTGTTTCCTGTTCCTTTCAGGGTTAGTACTGAAGAAAATGCTGCTCCCGGCTGCCTGCTGTAGCTTCCAGGCCGCTCTGGGCCGCACGTGCGGCTGTTCTTTGGTGGTGCAGGCAGCTCAGGCAGGAGAGGCCGGGCTGCAAGGGGAGCACAGCAGGTGCTCACCTGCCCCAGCTGCTCAGGAATTGGGTAGTTTCTCCCTGGACAAGGTTTTTGTTTCACTACCAGCACGTAGGCTGCCAGTCTGCGCATTGCTGGGCTTCTTTTTGCTTGTCTCCTGCATCAAAGGATATTGACGGAGATTGCAGGAAAGTTTGAGGCCTGGTCTGAAAGCAGGACCTGGAGCCAGAGAGTTCAGCGTTCATGTCCTACCTGGGAGGCTCAGCCCCATCTCTCCTGTGGAGCAATTCCTGAGGTTTGCAAAAGGAAATCGAGGGGTTGCAGTGAGGCGCAACAGGAGGGGAAGATGTCATGGTGGGGAGTGGGGAGTAACCAGCAAGCGCCAGTGTGGAATGTATAAACAGGAGTTGTGTTTGCCAGACATATGAAATAATTCTGTTCGGTCCTGTTAGCGCCTCGGCTAGAGGACAGCCCAGCTCCAGGAGCAGCTGGAGGGAATCCAGGGGAGAGCAGTGCGAGTGAAAAGAGGTGTAGGAAAAACATGACCTGCAAGGCCAGCTTGAAGGAAACGAGCTTGTTTAGTCTAGAGAGCACTCGGGAGAGACACCCGGACTGGATTTCAAATCCTGAAACAATAGCTGCAAAGGGAAGGCGCAGGCTGTGCTGGAGTTAACTGCTCGATGGAGGTTAGAGCCGCTTTGTAAAGCACAAAGACAGTGTAATAGTGGAGTGGGCTGCCCCGGAAGGGTCCATCTGCCTTAGTGGCTATCTGAAATTTTAAATGAAGTTTCATAAAAAATGCAAAAATATACAGAAACTTCTCCTTCGCTGCGGGGCTTGACTGGATGATCTCTTAAGATCCCTTCTGGCTCCTCGTCTTTTTTTGAAATGACACTATTACCCAAAGACAGTGGAAGTCAGCAAATCTGCAGAGTGGGTGCTTAGTACTTAGTGGAATTCTTCTCCCAGGCCTTGATTTCCTTCGTACAAAGAAGGATTAGACGGATGAAACTCTGGCACATAGAGCATAAGATGCTAATTAGTACTTGCAAGAAGCTTTAGACAATGTCAGGCACGAGGCCACGAGGATAATTTTGCCTCTAATTCTGCCCTCGCTCTCCTTATGACTATTTCACTGTGACCTTTCTCCGTTTCCACGTTGATACTTGCAGTCCTTGCGTGAGCTCTTTGCTCCCGCTTCAGCTGGCGCGTGTGGCCTGTGCCCTATTGCAAAAGCCTTGCCGAGACCGAGCTCCTGTGGCTCGTGGCCCTACCCATCCCAGAGCTCCTGCCGTTTGCTTTCTAATTTGACACTGGGGATTTGTTCACCTGCAGGAAAGACAAGGGAAAGCACAAAAGCGGGAGCAACTCCAGCTCCAGATGGCCACAAGCTCAGCCTCCCCAGTCCAGCTCTCCGGGACGGAAAAGCTTCGATGTTTCATCAGAGCCAGTGTGAAGGTCAGGACTGCGCTGACATGGGGCAATGTCTGTCCAAAGAGGGGAAAAGTCCTCACTGTGCTCGGATCCGAGCATGATGGTGTGGAGGGGAGCTGCATCCTTCCTCGGCATGCTCAGTGTGCAGCCTGCACCGCTGGCTCACTGCTACTTTGGGGGAAAGGACTCTGGTTTGGGGACTTGGAGACCTCACGTGGCAGCAGCACCTCCAGGGACGGAGGGGGAAAACGCCAAGTTGGCTGCTCACCGTGTCCCCAAGCAGCTGCTGGTGAATGCGCAGCCTCCACCGGTCCCTGACGCCCATGGCGCATCCCCTTCCACCGTCTCTCGCTCCTGGGGATGTGTGGCCACCACGTGCTTGTGTCCCCTGGCCACACGACCTGGTAAACCCTTCCTGGGCGCCACAGGGTACGGGCTGAGCGGGTGGCCCCTACAGCTCTTTGGAGGCAGGAGCCTGCACTGCGGGGGCAGCGGGGCCGGCAGTGCTGCTGGCGGCTGCTCGCACAGCTGGGATCTGTCTCGGGGCGGCAGCAGCGCTCGCCCTTTCCCAAATAAATATCTGAGACCCTGCTTTGCGAGGCGTTTGGAGGGTGGCGAATGCCAAAGAGTGCAGGGAATGCTGCTGTGATTAACGGGAGCCGCGGGGTGATGGGATGTGTTGGATGAAGGCAGCATTCCCCTGCATCCCAATTCCCCCTGCAGACACCCACCGACTTGGGCGGCCTCAGCTTGGGGGCTGCCAGTTGTCGCTGTGGGGAGCCCGGGCGGGCACCGCGGGACCCCCGGGCCAGAAATGCGGCAGGTCCGCGGGATGGGGGGTCCCGGGGGGCACGAGCGGGCCCCGGAGCCGGTGTCCCTGCCTCCCTCCCGGCCTTGCCGCCGGGAAGAGAAGGGAAGCGGCGGCGGGACGAGGGCCCCGCGGGGTTCTGGGGCCCGGTGGCCGCGCAGGCCGCGCGGGGCCGGGCCCTCCGGCAGCGGC